CTCACCTGTGGGGGCAGGTGACCCTCTGGCTCCTCCTGCCCCACCATGGCTTCTTCTCCATCTCACCTGTGAGGGCAGGTGACCCTCTGGCTCCTCCTGCCCCACCAGGGCTTCTTCTCCATCTCCCCTGTGGGGGCCGAGTCCTCCAGAGCACACCTTCAGCCCTCTTCCTGCCCCGATCACGGCCTGCCCACGGGTGGGTCACCAACCACCTGGTTTCGCTAGGACTCGTGGCTCCCACCAGACCCCACTCTGCACACAGCAGCTCTGAGCCTCTCGATGCCCTCAGGCCACCCTTCAAACTCCACAGTGGGGATTCGCGGCTGCTTGGGACAGGCTTCCTGGGAAGAGGGGTTCCAGGCTGAATTTTGCTGTTCCCTCCTCTGTTCTCTGAGACCCAATAACACTAAGAACCTGGCAGTGTTCAGCCCAGCATCCCCCATAGTCCCCAACGCAGACTCAGCCAGGCTGCCCGGGGACGTGGAGTGACAAGACAGAAGAGAGAGGCCTTGCCTGTCTCCACTGGACTCCCTCTGCCCTGGCTCTGGAGTCTGCTGACACAGGGACGTGTGCACCAGCTGCGGTGGCAGTGGACCCAGGCAGTGCTCCTGAGGGCCCAGCCTGGCCGGGTTCCACGCTGCCTCTCGGGCCAGGTCAGGGCGGTGCTGGGTCCTCTCGGTCTCTGAGAGCCTTGACCCTGCCCTTTCCAGTCCCCACAGGGGGGCCTGGGAGATCAGCTGCAGTCTGAGCTCCTTCTTGATCCGTTCACACTAAGTGAAATGTGATCACTTCACAGTTAGCCTGGAAAGAGCGGCTGGTTTCAGAGGAACAATCTTAAAAAATGGATTTGTATGCATAACATCCATTGCCGTCGGTGGTGGTGGAGGCAGTGACTAATAAAAATGTCATTTCCTGTGATTTTTATAAATTACAGTAAATATGCCAGTAATCACCTACATTAGCTGCTGGAACGCAGGCGCCGTCTGGAGTCGAGGCCGGGGGACTTCACGGAGGCCTCGAGAGGTAGACCCCACAGGTGCAAATTGACACCTAGGAAAACAGTAGTTAGTACATGCTAGAATCTGGGGAAGGGAAAAGTGTTAAAATAAATGTATGTCAAGCAGACAAATTTGGACTTCTCCATGAGGATCTGTCACGTCAAACAGGAAATAGCTATAAATTACTCGTAATAGTAAAAATCTTGTCATTTACAACCTCTAAAGCAACGGGCTCATTTAACACATCAGCTCACAGATAATGATCGAGGAGAGTCAGCCGGGTATTTATTCCTCTTTAATGTGCAAAAGCCAGGGTGAGCCCCGGGTGACTGCAGAGGGCCCCACGGTGACCCGTCAGCCCCTGCACCACAGAGGGAGCCGAGGCTAACTGCTGCACATGTCGGGATCTGAGGTCCCCTCCTGCCCTGTAAAAAGAATTAAGACAGGACTGGAAGTGTCAGGCTGCGGGTGGTCTCATAATGAATAATTCCAAATAAGTCCCACCCTTATTCTGTTTATTTGTTTTCCTCAGAAGCCATTTGAAGGCGTTGGAGCTGAAAGTGTGTTCCAACATGCCAAGCACATGGCAGCATCTCTCGTCAACTTGCTGACCAATTCAGAGGCAAACAATCACTGGATTCTGTGCTTGTTTCAGATGCCTCAATGTCCACTGCCCATGGATAAGAGACCACAGCTCAGAGACACTTTCTAAGGAGGCCAAAATGCCTCCACAAAGGAGGCCCAGCATGATCCAGAGAGGTGGACTCCCAGAGCCCTTTCTGCAGCACGTGGAGACCCGCTGGGAAGCAGGTACTGGTGGAGATGCTCACTGGGGTCTCCGTGCATGAAGTGATATCTGCTTATGACCTGGCTCAGAACGTGGGCAGAGGGCTAAGAAGGCCAGAAGCAGAGACAGCAGCCTCTCACATCCCCAACCACACCACAAAGAAGGGCCTGGGTCTCGGGGTCGAGCACACAGATCACATTAGTCTGTTCATTCATCCATTTATTTTGTGGAACTAGGGGTTTAACCCAGGGATGCTCTGCTCTGAGCTTCAGCCCCACCCAGTCCTTTTTTTTTTGAGAGAGGGTCTGTCTCACTAAGTTGCCAAGGTGGGTCTTGACCTGCCACTCCCCCAGCCTCAGTCTCCAGAGTCACTGGGGTCATACTCATACACCACCGTGCCCCATTACAGACGGCATTCATACCTGTCAGCATCGCGGACCTAAGGAGAACACTCGTCCTCAGAGGGATGCTGATCGCTTGCTCTCTCTTCCCCCTGGCCTCTCGACACCCCCCTGTTTTCTGCTCTCCAAGAGCTCAACTTGGGCAGACCCCACCTGTGAGTGCACACACACGCCTGCCCACACCTGCACACAGGCACAGGCCACGGGCTGCAGAAGGACACTGGTGTCCTGGCAGCCTGTGGTGGAGGCCCAGGTCCCTGGATGAGTCCCTGCTGTTTGCCTTCCCACATTCTGCCCCGGGATGCTCAGACAGATGAAAATCAGTCTCTGTGTCCACCTGGACGAACACAAGCTGGTTTAAAAGAGAATGCTGAATTTAATTTAAAAAGAAGTTAAAATTTTAACATTCGCTTCAGCGGGTACAGTTTAACCGGGCATTTATCTGATCTCTCTCTGAAGGGGATCCTGTTTTCAGAATAATGGTAAAATTTCAGACTGACCGGTGGTGGCATGGGGTGAAGAAGTGACCTGTGGAGGTCAACACAAGGGCATGGAAAGGTGGAGAGTTTGGCACCAGTGTGTCATGTAGGTCACCTTCCTGTCATTGAGGATGACAGGCTGATTCTGGAAAACAAATGATCCAATTAACCACGTCCACTCTGGAGTCCCCAGACCAAACCCCAACAGGTCCAGATGATGCACATCCTAGTGGCAGGTACCAGGCATGGATGGGGACCAGCACACTCTTTAGTGTCCGAATGTGTCAAGTAGTGTAAACAACTGGGGCTTCTCTAACTTAGATAATTTGTGGAAAAACTAGCAACCTACAATTGCTAGATTGTTGCTGATAAAAGAATATTTATATATATTTTTTCTTTCCTTTCTTCTTTTGGTGAGTGGAATGAATAACTGTTTCAATTCTACATTTAAAAATTACATGTAACTATAGACTTGATTTATAACGAAGTTAACTTGTATAGAACAATGGGTAATTTTGAAAATATTTTGGGCAAAATGTTATAAACTCATTATTTAGTTAGCTAAATGATGCATACTACAATCCTCTGGTTCTAAGACACATATCACATAACTTAAATGTGTTTGTCATCTCTGAAACCTCAATGCACTGTCTCCGTCATGACCACTTGGGATTGGCGGACCTTGTTCTTTCATCGTGAGGTGGAAACTAAAGATGCATCTTAGGCTTGTGGAATAGAGGAAAAGATGTGTGGACATCTCCTTTAGATAACTTCAGGTCCATGTGGTCAGAGGTGAAGAAAAGCTACTTGGTAAGGATTGTTTGGCCCTAATACCTGTTTACCTAGGAGTTAAACAGTGTCCCCAAACTTCAACATAACTCTTTTTATTCCAAAACCACCTTGTCCCTATAAGTGGTTCATGCTGATTCAATCTTTCCTTCTCTACCATCGACTAAAAAAGCTACCAATGATGGCTCTAGAAGCATCTCAGGATGGACCAAGGAGACCAATTTTCCAGCTGGCACCAAAGTTGATGTGTCAAAAAATATATATATCAAATACCACTGGAGAGTATAAAGCTAGTTAAAGTAAGCACATTTCAGCAAAGTCCTGTCCACCTGGAGCTCCTCACTGGAAAGTGCTCCTAGCAACCTGGTGACACGGGGAAAGCTCCACACCGGGACCTCCACGGTGCTGGCCATGGTGCACCTGGCCCCTCCTGTGGGCACTCGCCCTCACTCACTCTTCTCAGCCAGGAGTCTTGGAGAGGACTGTGGGTGATGCTCAGTCAGTCTGAAGTGAGGTGTGGACAGAGGAGGAGGAGAAAGACAAAGTGTGGATTTTTTTTTTAAGCGATCAGGATTCCAGCCAGGGGAAAATGTGGCTCTGCTGGACACCTACCGCTCACCACCAGTGCCTGCTGGGCCACACACAGAGGCACCTCACGTGCACATCCAGGCTCTTGGTTGGCTCCTGACAGCCATGCCATCCGAGGGCTGGAGGGCTGAGGCAGACACAGCTTCCCTCTCAGCCTCTGCTCTCCACCTCGTCTCATTCTTCCTGGGACCATCCTATATGAACGATTTAAAGGGAATTACCTATTACTTCAATTATTTGTTTCTTATCGACTGATGTTAAACTACAAGGATTTGCATTGAAAGGACACAAAGAAAGAGCAAGTCGTGGCACATCGCCAAATGAAAGAGTAATGTTCTGGTGAATTTAGCCTAAATAATTTACTGCCACATAAAAGTGGAAAAGTGGAAGGTGAACCCTTTGACCAATAAATCTCTCCTGCCCATGAAACCCTTATCTGGTCCCCTCCGATGTATTCCACATGAGGAAGCCATCACCATTGGCTCTGGTTTGCTATTTGTAAACCTTGATCTTCTGCACTCGGTGTCCTAAATATGGATAATTAGCATCAGTTTATCACGCTTCTGCATATTTTCTCTTCTCTCCAAACACGCGTGCTTCTGTTGGCTGCCATTCTGCTATGGAAGATTATGGAGACAGATTGCAGAGAACGAATGTGCTAAACGAGATTAGGAAGGAATAGAAATAGCAACTTGGCCAATAAATTCCTCGTGAGAGCCTTATCATGCAATTACACGTTGACTTGCTTCACACTCTCCCAGCCTCTTAATCCAACGCCCCCACCAGGAATAAAATTTCACTAATTTCTGAATTGCAGCATATCCTCCTGACTTGTTACTGAGAATGGTTGGAAGGAGAAACACTGCTGAAAACATCATGTCAAACTTTATGATAAAAAAAGTAAACTCTGAATGCCTACTTGGGTGGTGCGACTTGGGATGTTTGCAGCATTTTAGCGAATGATTGCATGAAGTCTTGGCTTGGAGGGTGAGTCCCACACTCCTCATTGTGCCACTGTTGGGGATTCAGAACTATCAGAAGGGGGAGGTCTCCTTGCTCGTCCCCAGGACTATCTGGTGCATTTAAAATGAGGGCAAAGCATGTACTACTTTTCTTACTTATTATGACCACTGATAACAGTCAGGATACCTCAAATAATTCTGTCAGGGCTGCTCACTTGACCTCTTAAGGACAGTCTCCTCCCTGCTCACACAGGCTGGGCTTCATGAAGCAAGGCCTCTCTTAGTGCTAGGAGCACTGTGGCTCCTATGCACCTAGATGTATAAAAATAGGAAAATTCCTGCCCACTCTGCACCTCCCCAGAGTGGGACCAGAGCGGTCTAACGGGGCATCTACAGGGGGAGCTCTCTTCTTGTTCCGCTCTGCCTGTTAATTCTATTCTCCCCAGGGCTTTATAATAAGTTAGGTATTTAAAGAGGCCCATTAAGCCTTTCGATCTACAAGGGACTATTTATAGCACAGAGCCACAGTCAGGCATTAGGATGCCCCCATAGGAAGCAAGGCTCTGCCACAGCAGGAAGACCAAGCTTGTGTGTGCAGGGAGGAAAGGCACAGCAAACCTTGTATGTGTGCTTGCAGAAGAGGAAAGACTTCCAGTTCATGGTGGAAATCATTGCACAAAGAAATTCACAGTAATTGTTTCTGCACAGATCATAACGTTGCCTTCACTTTCTTTCCTCCAAATAATTTCTACAAGAGTCACAGAGGAGAGGGCTCGTAAATGGTCCAGAGAAAGAACTCCATGTTTCCTTTTCAGATGACCTGCTTCCAGGCTGAGAGCAGGGCAAACTGGACAGTGCCCACTCCCAGGCACAGGCTGACATCTCTTCCACCTGAGCAGTGCCAGGCTCTGCCTCAGAACCTGGTATGATGGCACAGAGAAGTCCACTGAACCAGCAATCAACAGGCTATGAGGATGCAGGTAGGTCTTGACCTTGGCGGGTGTGGGCTTACCTTTTGCAAGTGGGCTGGCCTCTTACTGGCTGCCAAAGATTTTCTGTTCTGGAGAGAAAGCTGACCTGGAACTTTCCTTCGCCTTGAGGGACAGCAGGACTGAGGGGCCCGGGAGGCACTGGGAGGCTCTTATCCTGAATTCCCAGCTGGAATTCAGTAGGAGATCCCAGCTCAGATGCCTGCCCTCCTGAACCAGAACCAAAAACCTGGCAGTGGGGTGGCAGCTACAACTCTGAGGGCAAAGGCACCCCTCTTCTCAAGTCATCTGGTGAGGAAAGCAAATGGATGTCAGGGGTCCACTTCCCTGCACCCTCCTCTTTTCGGAGATCGGAAGGCACCTGTTTGTTTGGAGGAGAGAGCCTGCCTGGTGCAGTGGGCATGTGAGCCAGAGAGCCTGGCCTGCTGGCTTTGTGTCCTGGAGGAAATGTGCTGGGGGCTTTGCAGTGCCAGGTTGGGAGCTCTGCATGTGGCTCATCTCACACCTCTGCTCAAGCAAGAAGGCAGTTAGACTGTGGTCACCCTAGGCCAGAGGCCCAAGGGCAGGCACCTCCAGGCTTGGCCTGGAGACCCCATCCCCAGGGGAGGGACAGAAGATGTAAAATCAGATGAGGAGTTGTTAGTAACTGCCCTCCCCTCCACTATGTCATATTTCCTGAATCGGTGAGCTATGCTGATGGGGGTGGAGTAGGAGGGAGCATTCGCCATTAATCTGGGAACAAACGGCTAACCTCGGTGACTGGTATTTCGCTTTTCTTTTCTCACTTTTCTCAGTGTGGGGAAAGCAGTCAAGCCCGCGCGGCGCGATTGTGAGGGGCTCTGCTGGAATTTGGCAGCGCAGAGGCTTGGAGAGCTGCCCCATGCTGGCTCCCATTCAGCGGGCCGGTTTTCCTCGAGCTTTGGAAGTTTCACTCAGCCGTGCACTCAATGGCTTCACAAAGCTGATTACAAGCTTCAGCGCATTCCTGAAGGAGCCAAAAGCGACGCAGGTGCAAACGAGCCAAGGGAGCCCCTTATCCCGGTGACAGAATGGGACAAGCTGGGAAAGGCTTGGACCACACAAATCCAGGCTCACCAGGCAGCAGAAAGCCTGCCTTGGGAACCGGGGGTCATTATCCGCCCTATTCAGCGGGGCCCGGGGACCCTGGGGGCCCGGAGAGGCCGGCCCCAAAGCAAGCGCCACCGCCAGCGCGGGCCAGCGACAGTGGGGACCCTGCTGGGCCCTGCGACTGGACTGGGGCATGGGCGCTGCTGGGCTTGTTTGGATCGACAGCATCCGTGAAATCCCTACTCCAACAGGCCGCTGTCCACGCTGATAGGCAACAGGAAGAAGAGCGTGGCAGGAGGTTCCGCCGTGCGTGGACCCTCGCGGGTTCGCTGTCTCGACCGCATTGCTTAGGCCCCGCCCCCACCCCACCCTCGCACTGCGGGACTCGGCCAGGGACCCTGGCGAGGCCGTCGACGCACAGTTCTGAGGGTCTCTCCGGCCCCTTTCTCCCCCAGTCCCCTTTCATGTCTTATTCCGCGGGGCAGCGGGGTCCAGTAGAGAGCAGCACCGATGCGGTGCGGTACAGGGGCAGTGGCACGAGGGGAGAGTGGGCTTCCTCCCCTGGGCCGGGGAGTCAAAGCGCGTTCGGCGAGGCAGAGTCTGATTCTGCGTCTGGGGAGGAGAGCCTGCTCCTCTCCCGGAGTCACCGATGATGTCCCCGCTTGAGTTCAAGGACCAAAAACCAGGGGCTGCTGAGGGCTGGGAGAGAATGACCCGGCCTCGCCCAGCGTCCAGGAGAGAAGAACGCGCGTGTGGGAAGGACGTGGGCTGGGGGGCTGGGGCAGTGGAGGGGAGCGCCAGGGAAACAGCGCGGGCGCGGGGACAGGCCGCCCTGTGCCGGGTCCAGGCTAGCGCAGCACTCTGCGCAGTCCCTGCGTGGGGCCAGGGTGGCTTCCCCCACCTGCACGCCCCCCACTTCCTGGCCCTGCTGGCCCAGCGAGGCCTGGGCCCCGCCCGCCTCGCGCTGGGCCGGGTTGCGCCCGGGGGTCCCCGCGGGCAGGGCGCGGGCGGGCAGGGCGCGCGCGCCGACGCTCTTTTGTCTGATAACTAATTTGAGTTAATGCGATCTTTATGTAAAGCTAACAGCGGATAATTGTCTATTTTCTCGCCAACAATCTCCATCACAATCACTTATCTGGAAACCTGCGGTTGGATTAATCGTTATATTCCCGAGATGAGCGTCGCTGCAATCCACAGCAAACGCAGTGGGGACGTGGAAACGCCTCCCGGGAGCTGCCCGGACGCGGTGCGCCAGAGTCGGAGCCCGCGGGTGAGGGCAGTTGGGTGCGCCTCTAGAACTTGCTTTAGCTCGGGTGGGTGGCGCCGGGGCGCGGAGGCGAAGGGAGTGGGAAGAAAGGCCTGCAGGCAGAGGGAGCGGCAGGGTAGGCTCTCCGCGAGGGCGCGCAGCCTCCGGGTGCATGCGGCCGCGGAACTGTCTGTCTGTCGGAATCGAACGCTTTTGACCTGGGAGAAATGAAGCCCTCAGACCCACTTTTTTTTTTTTTGGCTGCAAAAGATGACTCCGCCCATGGTCTTGATTCTTCCAGCTTCATCTTCTGCTCCACCCATCCGTCCGCTTTTGGCCCCTCCCTGCAGACCCCCTCCCACAGGATCCTGGTCCCTGCAAATTATTGACAATACACCCTCCAAGATTGGAATCCCAAGACAGAAACTGTGGGCGTGGAAACAAATCCCAATTCCACAGTTCCCGCCCGCTCCAGCGCTGGGTAAGGTGGTGGCAGATGGTGTCAAACCTCTGGGGAAGAAGCACTTGTGTTATCAAGATTTTGTCTTTCTGAGCTGAAGTCAAAACAGGAGCGTTAAGTGGAAATCATTTTGGCGGTGGAAGGGCTGAGCGCCGTGAGGTCTGCAGTAAGTGTGGCACCATCGACTTCTAGAACCAAGTACCGCTTCTGGCTAGTAGCTGGAGGGTGAACCATCTTGATTTCACCCGTTTCTACAGCTCGGTTTGCCATCCGAGGTCAGGGTTGTAACTTTAAAAATGTTTCTGGAAAAAAATCGCAAATTCGGACTCAACTGGTGACAGTGTTTGGCCACAGAGAATGAAACTATTTGCTCCCCTTTGGGCAGTATATTTATTGGGTTTTTAGGTAAAGGAATACCTCAGAACACACCCCAAACAAACAGGGCTTTGTCAATTCCTGTTAGGAAGTTTTGCTCTTGAATTTTCCCTTCCAACTGAGGAGGTGTTTAGGAGCAAACAAGTACAAACCCACTTCAAAAATCAACACACAGGGCTGGGGTTGTGGCTCAGTGATAGAGCACTCTCCTAGCATGCATGAGGCACTGGGTTCCATCCTCAGCACCGCATACAAATAAAAAATAAAGATATAATTGTGTCCACCTAAAACTAAAAAATATATTTTTTAAAATCAACAAACCAAAGCTCTTGCAAGGTTTCCAAGGCTGCTCTTCCCAGTGACTGTCAGGAATCTTCCCACTTCATCTCTCACCTGAATCTTGTCACCGGGGACCATCTTGAAGTGATCTGTGCACAATACTGATCCCGACAGCCTGCTGGTCAATCAGGCCCAACAGTCTATGCAAATGCTGGGAGGCCCCGCTCCGAGAACAGGGAGCCCATTGTCCAGGGCATTTCAAAGGCCCAGCAGCTGCGCAGACTGGCCGCCTTGGGCCCGGGCTGCCGCGCTAACGTCATCAAGGCAAACGTCAGATTTCCACACCGGACAATCTGAATCCAGGAGGATTCAGATTAAAAGTCTGGTGCTTCTGTGGGCGGGGCGAGGGGGGAGGCCCGGACTGCGCTGGGGAGTGCGCTAGGGACAGTCGGTGGGGAGCCGAAGTCCCCCCTTTCTGGTGGATTCACAAACCTTGGTCCTTGGGGTTCTGAGTCTGGCTGTCTGACTCAGAAACGGTTTTGCCGTTTTCTCCAGCCCTTGGGAAGGGGCCCGCGCTCAGTGAGGGAGAGGACAAAGGCAGCGGGTTTTAGGAGGGCCGCCGAAGCCCCCCAGTTCCCATGGAGTGAGCTCCAGTGACCAGTGATTCCTAGGGCGGCCGGCGAGTGAAGCCAGCTCCGCCACCGGCCCGCCAACTGCCAGTCCCCACGCAGCGTCCCCTGTAATGGCTTCTGCTCGCCGCCAGAGCCTGGTCCCTCGGCCCCCACCTTCGCGGGTGACCTCCTTTCTCTGGAGCCATGATGTGGGAAGGAGGCGCTTGGTGTCCTGGGGCGGGGGCGGAGCTCGGGACCCGCGGAAGAGAGCGGGGCTCCCCGCATTCCTGGGGTCCCGGCTCCGCCTGGTCCGCTGACCGGCCAGCGGCCCTCTGCTCATTCCCGGGCTGCGGTCTGCTGTAGCTCCCGGCCGCGTCCGGGGGAGGGAAAAGGTTCCCAGGAAAAGGAGGCCAACACGGAGAGCACCAGGCCCGTTCCTAGGGTGAGGCTAGAGCGCTGTGGCTCCTGCGCTCCGAGGTCTCTCCCGTGGGCCAGAGGTCTTCCCTGAACCCGGATCCCTCCTTAGATGCCTTCCTATTTCTCCACAAATGGAGTAGGTAGGATTTGGAGGATTGGGGTACGATTTTTGTTCACCCAGAGGGAAACTAAGAAATCAATGGACACGGTTGGTTTGGTTATGGGTGGGGGTGAAGGACAGGTCACTATCAGTGGTCAACCTGGGCCTAGGGATGGGAGACTTTTCAACCTGGACACCTCTGGAGAGACTGAAGGAGAAGACTCTTTTTCCCCTGTGGAGAATGGCATGATGGACACCTTGGACCTGTGGTGGCTCCTCTTGGTCCTTGCCCACTGTGGTGTGTGGGGCTGCCAAGCCCCCTGCCAGGCCATGCACTGTGGAGGCCAGGGAAACCCAGAGGTAGACTTTGACAGAGACCTTGGCTGTGGGCAGTCGGGTCCTGTGGGCAGTGGGGTCCTGAGGAGATGGAGGCTTTGCTGCTCTGAGTCACTGAGGCAGCTCCAGGACTCCCACAGGTCAGGGTGTCAGAACGTGATTCCTGAAGGAAGCCTTCACTCTTACTGTAGTCCACACACACACACACACACACACACACACACACACAGGGGACCTAGGACTGACCTCTCTGACAAGCAGACTACACAGTCACACACTCACTCTTCCATGGGCTCCCCCCAATGCACACACACACCTGAATCTCTAGTGGTGGGGGGCTTGTGCATGCTGGGCTCCTGACCCTGCCCGGGAGGAGGAAGTCCAGCAGCTGCAGCAGGAAGAAGGATGTGTTCATTTCTAAACTTTAGTGTCCTGGTCCTTCTGCACTTTGGGAGCTGGGATCCTGCCCAGCACAGTGCAGTTGACTGTACTGTCGCATTGTGACCAACTCCTGGTCCATGCTCTCTCTCAGCACCCACTTGGCTTCTCTAGTCTGCTGGGCAGACCAGTGTTATCGGAGGGGTACCTGGCAGCCACACTGGATTTTAGAGATATCAAGTTAAAAAGAGCACACAAAGGGCTGGGGTGTGGCTCAGCGGTAGAGCACTCCCCTGGCATGTGCAGGGCCCTGGGTTCCATCTTCAGCACCACATAAAAATAAATAAATAAAATAAAGGTATTGTGTCCAACTACAACTAAAAAATAAATATTTTTTAAAAATTAAAAAAAGCCTACAAAATACCTCATTAATCATTTAGAATACTGGCTACAGATTGAAATGATCATACCTTGGATACATTGGGTTAAATAAAATGTATTAGTTAAGTCAATTTCACCTCCTTTTCATCTTTTTAAAATGTAGTGTCTGGAGGTTTAAAATGGACGGCTCCCATCTGGGGCTGTGCTGTGTTTCCCTGAGTTCCCCTAGCCTTCTCAGTGGCCCTTTAGAAAGTGCACAGCAAAAGCCAAATGGGGGGCAGAGGTGGGGAGTAGGCAGGGTGTGACCTAGCCAGAGCCCAAGGCAGAGCCACTACATCAAAGGGACTTGTGCAGCACCTCTTACCTAAAAGTCTTTTTACACAAGAGAGTGCTTGTGGGGAGGGGAGCCTTGTATTTCATTGCTTGATTCATGTCCTTTCCATGTCAATGTGAATTCTGTCCGATGGCCACATCTCTCAGTCAGAGATCCTAAATGAATTGCAAGTAACTTTTGAAAAAAATCTACAAAAATGTTGGCCCGTGGTGGGATGTAGGTACTACAGGTTACTGCTGCAGGTCCACGCAGTTCTACGACAACCCTGTTCGCTTTCCAATTTGGGGTCAGCATTTTGACACTTTTCTGCTTAAATTCTTCTATGCAAATGTGTCACCACCTCCACCTACCACCACTGTACCCACAAACAGAACCAAAGATTTAAGGGAGAAAACAAAAACTGCAAGCAAGAGTTTGCTTCTGGGGAAATGCGTCGTCCTCCTTGCAGTGGGTTCCTTCTGGACTTTAATTCCTGTGACCGACTCAAAGCTTTCAAATGTGAAATCACACTTGAATCACAGCGATGACAGAAGACATGCTTGTAATCTTTTTATTTTAAAGACGGTATTTTAAAACAATGGGTTTTTTTTGAGCTGGGGTTGTGGCTCAGTGGTAGAGCACTGGCCTCTGCACATGCCAGGCTCTGGGTTCAATCCTCAGTACCACATAGAAATAAAGGTATTCTGCCCAACTACAACTAAAAAATAATATAAAAAAAAGTTTTTGTTCACCATTAGGAAAACATGGTCTTGAGACACAAGATTTCTTGAAATGAAGTTACAAAAATTAGAAGTCATATTTTTCCTTTTGATGCCAGGTTTACTGTTTTGAATAAATTCGGTAGAAGTGCATCATGAACTCCGGGCTGCCCACGGCTGTGGCATCTACGTGTGTCATCGCTGTTCTTACTGGGAGGGATGTATAATTAATACAGGAACCAGCAGCCCATGTCTGAAGTGCAGCTCACTTGGCCAACAAACTGTAACTAGCTCAAAGATAATTCAGAATAAAATTACTTTTATTGTAAAAGAAACTGTCCTGTTGCTCATTATTTAACATCTACTTTTCTATTTTTGGATGAATCCTTATTTAACTAAGGAAAAGACGTTGTAAAATAACCAAGAATGACGGGAGTTTTGTGGGTAAGCAAACTGAAATGGCTTTATTTGGGAGCTCATCTTTGAAAACCATCCCTCTCTCTTGAGGCTTCTGTTCAACCCGTAAGGAAGGAACTGACAGGAACACTTTCGTCTTCGATCAAACTACCTGTTTTTTTAAGGTTGCCAAGGAACTAGCAGAGTGAGGCAGGTGTCTTGCCGAGGAGCCCGAGCCCTGCGCCAGGCTGAGGGTCTCGGTGCCCGGGCTCTGGTGTGGCCAAGAGGATGCTTGTCTTGTGATGGCTCATGTTTGCTCTGACTGAAGTTAGCAAGTACCAGGAAAACCGCAGAAATGAGCAACTCTCCCCCTTTTCCAGATCCATCCAGGAATGTAAGAATTAAACAGGGCAAGCAAGGGTAAACAGGAGAAGCCTGGGACCTGCACCCCGAGTGCCCGTGGGCAGACGCCACAGGCTGGAAATTCCAATTCACTAGCAGCTTGCGTGCCGCGTGGA